CAACCGTCAAGGGTCGTCATAGATCTCTCTAGTTTCTGCAGTAGTAGCTAGTTTTGTGATACAATCATCAGAAAGCTGCCATTTTTCATCACGTGATACCAATGGAATGCAATTGAACTTTGCAATTATTGCTCAAAGGTCAACCGTGTCCTACCTCCTCTGTCATAGAACTACTTACGGTAGAGGGCGTGGTTACACAAGAAATAATTTCAAAAATTTTAAAGCAGCCATTTTGGACGGCAACATGGCTAGTAGATATCAGAGAAAGATAGATCTCCTGTTTAATAATTCGTCTTTATCTCCTTTGGATCCTCTTCAGATTCCAGACATAGATTGGATTGATGACCCTAGGAAATGGCCTAAACTAGAATTTGGCCAAATGTATCTATACTTGATAGAATCACCTGGCCACTGAATTCACTAAAGAGAAGCTCAAAGCATACAAAAGTCTTCAGGCATACAATTATTATATAAGGTTTGTTTGTTTTATAGTGTATTATGAACATTATTTATTAAAAATATAGTGGATGGGTGCAGACTGTCTTCTTGTTCTTTATTCCTGGAACTGACAAATGCATACTGAAGGCCAAAGTAAAGCCATCTCAAAGAATGAACGACCATCCTCACATAGCTTGGGTTGGTCTGCAGCTGAATGGAGACATCATAAATGCTCATTGCTCTTGTATGGCTGGGTGAGTGACTACTGTTTACATATCTAATATTATTTTGTATGTCATTGAATAGACTGCACTGTTAAAACTGAGGTGTTGGCATACACTCGTGGGTGTCACAAATTTGGGTGTTGTTTACTATTGGGGTGTTGAATCAATCTAGCTTGGTGTTGTTCTATTGAAAGAGGGGTGTTACTACAACACTACAATTTGTGTCAAAGTTAAAGGATAGCCATGACACCCTTACAGGTGTTGCAATAACACTGTATTTAATACAGTGTGGGAGAGACATGTTCACATGTTGCAGCAATCCTTTTCAAGGTAGAGGCATTCAACAGGCTTGAACTGGGAAAAAGTAGTTGCACATCGTTGCCATGCGTTTGGAATCAAACCTTCACAAAGAATGTAGGTATTTGTTTTGTTAATTATTAGAGTCGTTATATTTGTCTAAGGTCAAACCTGCTCGAGCAGATGATATCAAATTCTTCAAGCCACGACATCAAAAGTCTACTTCTGTAACAGCCACAGGGTCGCAAAGTGGATCTTCCGGAGTAGTGTGTGAACTTGACCAGCCTCAGTTAGACAAAAAGAAGTTTCTTGATGCTTTATTTGCTTGCTCTCCAAACTCTGCTATATTCTCAGTAATGTATGGATACATAGACATGTCACTTGTTGCTGTGGAGGCAGATACTGAAGTAAACCTTCCCATGCAATTATTCAATTTGTACCAGCCTAGTTACTCGCAGTTACCACTAACTGACTTGTCACAGGTAGTCGCAACTACTTTTAATAAATATCTGAGGGTAACGCAAGCAGAATGTGACTTTCTAGAGAGCTCAACAAGGGGTCAGTCTTCTTCCTACTTATGGCACGATTATAGGAGAGGTCTCATCACCTCATCACACTTTCACTCAGTGCTGCATCATACTGGTAGAGCTTATCCTACATCAATTGTGCAAACAATAATGCAATACAAAAGTCTCAGTTCTTATATTCCTTCTTTAAAGTGGGGTAGAGAACATGAAGATATTGCTCGCAAAGAATATGCTAAATACATGATAACTCATGCTTCCTTTACCGTACAGGAGTCTGGACTAGTTATTAATGCATCTTACCCATTCATTGGAGCAAGAAGTCCCGACGGAATAGTTAACTGCATAATAAACTGTTGTGGTGATTAGGCAGTTTATCCGTTCCCTTGCGTATTACTGGCAGCCCAAAATGCAGGGATGAGAATTATTATACCTCCCTGACATGGCTGATAATCACCAACATTATGCACACAATTATGCACACAATCACACTCATGGAGTTCTTATTTTAGCCCAAGTAACTTATATAATTTCATTTAACTTTATTATTGCTATTTTTAGACAAAATTTATTTATTTTCACAGGAAGTCCTTCCACCTCTACTACATTCAAAGAATCAATGAATATCAACTATCTATAGAAGGGGTATAATGATTTCTAATATTGCTGAAAAGGTA